TCGAAGAACCTTGGTGTCCATAACTATGATTTTTTTGAATTCTGGTTAAATTTGTATCCATTTATGAAGAATATTTTTTTTTCTTTTAGGGTTATTTTAATCTGTGTTTGGAAATGTGCCTGAGTCTGCTATAATTCGCAGCTGAAAAGTTTTTGTAACCTTGCAAAGAGTTCATTCTTGACTGTACAGTTTTGTTTAATATTTATTATCATTTTTTATTTTTTTTTTGCAAATAATGCATTTATAAACAAACTCTTTGCAATGTGATTAAGTCTTCATTCTTATCAATGTTGACTATCATGAAAGGTTTTGAAGAAAGGTTTCATTGCATTTCTCTAGTAGTAAATGCAAGAAATCTTGACTTTGGGCGAAGTCATTATTCTCCATACTTTGTCCAACAACTGATCTCCTCTTTTATAATGTTGATGTTATCTCAGTCCTTCAGCCAATCCATTCTACAGCCTTCTCCAGCTGTATAATCTGTAAGGAAAAGAAGTCTTTTTTTTTTTTTCCTACAGCAGAGAAAAACTTTGGAATATCTTTCTGGATAAAATGGAATTACCTCGGTTATATGGGTTGTGCGGAATAGAATCATTTTTGTGTATCTCTCGTTGTTGGAATAAACCAATCTGGCTGGTCTAATTTGGAAACATTTCTGTTGACATCTTGTAAAGAATCTTTAAAGAAAAGGCTGTACTCTTTTGATGTAAGCTGTAGAATGGATAGGCCAAAATAACAGCAATAACAACACAAATGAGTTTAGTTGGCCAAACAAAGATTGGAAATTTCAATGACTCATCACGGAAGTTATAGACAAGTATTAGGTTGGTGCAAAAATAATGTCGTTTTTTAACGTTCAACTTAACGTCAAAAACGACATTATGTTTGCACCAACCTAATAATATCAAATAAAACTTTTTCTTTAATTCTTTACGAACTTATCTATTTTCTCACGAACTATTCTATAATGCACCAGCTAAAAAAAATATGGCTTGTTTTATTGTATAAATATGCACAGCCATGATTGCTTAAAGAAAGTGCCAGGTGGATGAGTCTTGTTAACAGTCATTTCCTTGTTAAATTAAGGAAGGTTTTTCAGGATAGTCTTGCTACCATCGACAAAATTATACTAAATTTATATTTATTGCTTTATTAACCTCCAGATGTATTGTCAGTTATTTAATGAGTCTCTTCACAAATAATATTAATAGTGGAGAATTTATATGATACTAAAAGATATTATATTTTAAGTAGCCAAAGTGATACATTGTAATTAGACATATTGAGTTTCCCCAAAATGTGTTCACTTAACATAAGCAAAAACAAAATCTGTATCATTTGTAACTGAATAAAATTATAGGTATCACAATCTACAGTTGACTAGAAAAGATGATTTTTTTTTCAAAGTCACCAAAATGGTGCATTTTAGCCAGAGAGATTTAATTAGGGCTCCTAAAATATGCTAACTTAAAGAATGCAAAATAATTTTGGGACATTCATAACTGAATGGCAATATTGTCAAGTGTGTATTCATGCTTATCTTCAAAAAAAAAAAAGGCATATAATACCCCAGAATGGAGTATGAGCTGCAAGGGAACAAATTCAATGATAATCTTTTTTCATCACAATTTCATATCAAGTTAACTTAATAGTTCACAGAAATGTTGTGAAAATATGATAATAGGACCTCCCATACCAAAAGACATATTGGGCAATATTTTTATCCCTTTTGAACAATATGGGATTTGCTCGTTAGAGATTTTATCATTTCTATAGCAAGTGTAATTTTTAACAGGTAGAGGGTACCTCATCATTTCTCAACCAGGATTGACACCAAATTTGGCTGTTAAAATCTACAACTTCCTTGCTACTTATCCATAACTATTAGATATGGATTTTTGCCTTTCCCAAGTGGAAAGTAATGTCTGATAAGCAAACATCTCTCTGAGGCACCTAGATCTTTTGATGTTCTGATGTGATAATGAAATCAAAGGTTCCTGATTGACATTAAATTTGACTCAGACCTCTATTATTTCCTGGTGTAAATCACATATTATGATTTCAAGCACCTTCAGTTGAAATTGAACCTTGGTTCACTGTTTCCATTTTCTGGGCTGATAACTGCTACACCTTTATTAAGAGAAAAGGTTGACAGAAATTTTGAAATATTTTGATGCTTATTTACAATTAAATGCTTATCTTCCAATTAAAATATTAACTAATATTATTTACAAATTATGTTTGCTATGATTATCTGCAAGCAAAAATTTTCTGATGGCCAATTTTTTCTTTCTATTTTTTAAAAATTTTTCCAGAGGAAATTAGTTTTTATAATTTTTAATTATTGTAATATCATTTTTTGATAACATTAAAGTGTCTACAAGTATATATACCATTAATATGTTGAAGTGTCTACACCATTAAAATACTCTTAATCTGTCTATGCCATTAAAATATCATTAAATTGTATACACCATTGACATATAAAAGTGTCCATCCTCATTAAAATATGCTTAAAATGTCTACAGCATTAAAATACACTTAAATGTGTACATCAAATGTCTACATCATTAAAATAACATTAAATGCCTATACCATTAAAATACACATTTCTATACTGTTAAAATATCTACACACTTAAAATGTAATTTCTGCATTATAATATCTATACCATTAAAATTTTATATTGTTGTGACATTTCATAATTTTGAAACAGACAAGCTAATTTTAGGTAGAAGATAGTGATTGAATTCTGCTGGATGATTTTTTTTAATCATTGAAACTAATTTCATTTTTTTTATTTTAGTTATTGCAATAACTCATTTGCAGGTTGCTATCAGCTGCCATTAAGCTTGACACAAAATCAATTAATAAATTTGCAAATAAGTAACGGGAAAATATGAATAACATTTAATATATCCTGAGTTATCTCCCTTGATAAATTGGCTTATTTGAGGTGAGTTTGAATGCAGACTGCATATATTGCAAATTGGAATTAAATTTCTTTATTCTCCAAGTTAGTACATTTTAATGGTATTGCTCTAATAGAAATCTCTCTATTGTGTATTGTTTTTACTATGTTAAAATAAGAAACCCACCAGTAGAAATCAGATCATTATAATATAGATGTTTTAAAAGTCCTATATAAGTGTATCTTCAAAGTTTAAAAATGGTATCTGAAAAATTATTTATTTTTCTGGAACAGGGAAAAATAAAGTTTTTACATAGAATTCAAATTATTTTATCTGAAACAAATAGTATGTATGTAAAAACATTCCCCAATTCAACATATAAAAAAAACAACAAATATAATGTCTAATAGACATGCAGACACATGCACATACGTATATACATTATCATCTGAATCCCACATCAACAAAATAGAATTATTGTACACTTACATACATAAAGCAATATTTCCAGTTTTTCAGTTAAGCTTGGAATCCAGTAATTTCTTGAAACTTTGAATGGATGCAGTGTCTCTCGTTGAGTTTGGAATGCTACAAATTATACTAATGTTGGTTCAACAAGTCGAATTGCATGTGAAACATGATTAACCAATAAAAATCAAACACAAAAGTAAAAATACCAGAATTTCTTTCTTCTTTTTCTATATATTTCATTCTCTGATGAAGCTTTATTAAAAGTGAAGCATGTTAGCTTGATAAATGTTTTCTATTTGTTCTTTGTCATATCATGCAATTCAAAACAAATAACAGATATCTTATTCATTAAAGAGTGCCCAAACTTAACCAATAATTGCTATTGTATTTTCATTGTAACACTCTCTTGTTTTTACTAAAATAATAACATTCTCAAAAATAATGAATATTTCTTGCTCTTATCAAAATTGTCTCCTGTAATCTATATATTAATACCAAATTATCTACTTACCTTGTTATGTAAAGTATGTGTCACAATCCAGAAAAAAAACATTTAAATAAAGTCTTCACCCATTTTAAAAGATTAATGGAGTAAAGGAGTAATAAAAACTCAAGATAACAAATCTGTCCATTACCTCTGTCTACATTTCTGAGATGAGGTATTGTAATTATTTACATTGTTCAGATTATTGTCTTCGATCTTTATTGTTATGTTCACAACCCTGGCCTCTTTTGGGTGATTGGAATTTCAAACTTCTTCAGGGTATTGGAATTTTGTCCACTGGAGTAGAATGTTCTTGTTCCACATGCCATGCTTCTTCCAGATGTCACAGTTAACTCTCCAAGTTTTCTTTCACCACTGCCATTGCCAGATATTGAATTCACAACTCTTTGGGTCAAGTAATGCTTTTATCAATTGGGCCATGTGTTCTTGAGGATAACTGAGACATCTGGAAGAGGCATGAGACGTGAAACTAGAATAATCTACCTTGATGGACAAAATAAAGGGTTCAGTTCGAAATTCTATTTTTTATTGTACTAAATTTGTTGTAACTGATCCATACACCAAGTTATGTGAATTCTTTAGTATTTACTAGTTCCACATCCTGCATTTTTATGATGGATTCAAGGTGTGTGCAGTCATTGCTTTCATTCCAATTCCAGATGATAGTTACTTTAATACTAGAGAAAATGGCTTACCTCTGGGACAAAAATGGAATTGGACATGTCTTGCATGTAAAATATTCCCAAAAAGAAAATGTCAGCTTCATGAGTCGTATATTTAAACAAATAAATCTCAGAGTTGGATAGACATTCACAAGAATCTCTTTTAACATATGCAAATGTTAACCGTCACTCAATCTATAAAAAGTGCTTAAAGAAGTAACAGAAAGAAGGGTGGCTGAAGACATGTGTTGTTGGATTGTTTGACTCATGCTGCTCTGTTGGTTGAAGAAAACAGATTAGGGAAATTTATTACAAGCCAGAAGAACTGACTATAGTCACGTCATCTATGATAGTCCTTAGGATTCTGATCTAAAAATACCTTTTCATGATGCTTCACTTCTTCCAATACAAACTCAGAATTAAACATCACTTTAATACTAGAGAAAATGACTTACAGCACGTGGTATTCCAAAGTGGTTACCCATCTAGGTACTGACCAGGCTCGACGTTGCTTAACTTCAGTGATCATACAGGAACCAGTGTTTCAATGTGATATGAACTTTTGCAAGAAGCTCTTTTAATATATGCAAATGTTAACTGTCCCTCAATCTATAAAAACTTCTTAAAGAAGTAACAGAAAGAATAGTGACTGCTGTGGCGAACAGAAGACATGTCTTGTTGGATTGTTTGACTCATGCAGCTCTGTTGGTTGAAGGAAAACAGATTAGGGAACTTTATTACAAGCCAGAATAAATTGACTACAAGCCATTTTGGTATTTAACACTCATGGACTGATTTGAATTATTTTGAAAAGGTTTGTCTTGAATCCTATTTCTTGGAACACTTTGTAGAGGATGTTGAATTTTCATTCAATGATGAATATACATGATGTTATATACATAGCCCCTCCTCATCATTAGTATACTGGCCTTGGGAAGGAAAGTAGGAATGTTGTTTCCTATTAGTAGATTTGTTTGGAATGTGGAAGGGAATGCTTAAACAGTCAGTGCCCATCTCATCACATCTGTACTTGTATATGTGCAGGGCATAGTCACATTTGTTTGGAATGTGGAAGGGAATGCTTAAACAGTCAGTGCCCATCTCATCACATCTGTACTTGTATATGTGCAGGGCATAGTCACATTTGTTTGGAATGTGGAAGGGAATACTTAAACAGTCAGTGCCCATCTCATCACATCTGTACTTGTACATGCTCAGGGCATAGTCATATTTGTTTGGGATGTGGAATGGAATGTTTAAACAGTCAGTGCCCATCTCTTCACAACTGTACTTGTACATGCTCGGGGCATAGTCATATTTGTTTGGGATGTGGAATCGAATGCTTAAACAGTCAGTGCCCATCTCTTCACATCTGTATTTGTATATGTGCAGGGCATAGTCTAGCAGTGATTAAATAAACTGGCACTCTCATTTCCCCCTTGTACACCTGATGAGATTTGAAACATTTCTGTATTGGGTTCTACACCAAACATGTATGACTTTGTGCAGCTGTATAGTTCCTCTATCAGATCTAGACATTCAGTGAAAACAGAGCTTGGAAGACTTTTTGATGGATCAGAAGAGGAAGTCTCTAGTGATGTGTTTATATGATGGTGTGATATGAAATCTAGAAAGTGACACTTTGATCCTTGGCAAAATGCACCGATCCTTGGCAGAAGTGGCAATCTATGCATAAATAATCCATTTTCAATTTTGAAGTGTCATATATTAATCTTTTCCTATTTTTGAAAGATTTCTATAAAAAAAATGAATTTGGCACTATGTTCAAGTCTATGTTTAACTATTATCTTCCTCACCTATCCACATAAGCATCCATATGAAAGTCTGAATATGATGACATTATTTAAAAATATGACTTGATGTTTAGGTTAATGTTATGGTTTTGTAGCAACTGTTGGTATTTGGAGAAATTACCCCTAGCACAGCCTATTCTATGTCCAATTTCCTTATCTCCTATACTAAATTTGTTATAACTGATTTATACTGGTCCTCAGTAGATGTGCCAATCTATACATAAATAATATATATACAATCTATACATAAATAATTCCTCCGTTTATGAAGTGTCCTATATTATATATTTTTATTTTTGAAGAATTAAATGATTTCTTTGAAAAAAAATTCTAATGAATGCTTTGAGAGTTAGGTATTCATTTCAGGCAACTTATCAGGAATTTTCTTTTTACTGTAAATACTGTTTACATTGACTCACTGGCCTTCAAACTTTAAGCTCCTCTAAATTATTCTAAACACTACAGCTTTGCTTTTAAAAAAACAAAAAATGAATAATTGCTTCATTTTTATCACAATGTCAACAAATGAAAGACCTCTTTATAGGTTTGCTTTTTTTAACTCTTGGGGTCCCACACAATGCATTTATCAGACCCTGCTGCTAACATCTTTTTTTTTTTTTTATATCATCTATACTATATTTGAATATTGCATCAGGGAAGATATACCTTGCTTAAAATTTTCATTGAAGCAGTAAAAGTAATTCTTGCCAGTAACTGAATGTTTTATTAAAAACTGCACCTGTGTCATGCAAATCAATGCATGAAGTTGATTCACGACAGCATTTTTCCTTCTTCCTCACGTAATTTTATTTTTGATTGAGAGTATTAGATTCCCTAAAATTTTTCACAAATGACAAAATAATCACTTATTGACAAGAGAAAGAATTAAAAAAAACATGGATTATTGTTTTTTCTTAGTTATATAGATATATAACAAAGATTGAGATAACGATATGTATTTTTATATATCAAGAACTGTATTGGAGAAATTGTATGACAAAATGGAAAAGATTACTTGTGACATGTTTCGTCCTTCAGGACTTCATCAGACTAAATTTGTTATGCTAGTACAACTACACATGTGCACGAATGAGGGGTGCTGGGAATTTTAGGATTTATATATATATATATTCATTTAGAGTCTTTTTCTTTTTCTTGAATTCACTTTTGTTAGTAGGTACCCCACACTGTGATATTAGAAAAATTTGCCCAGTGCCTTGATTGCAAGGTCATCCATGGTAAATTTGTACCCTGGCTCTTACAACATTTCACCGTTCCTAGCAAATCTTCAAGTATCACAGTGTGGGATACCTACTAACAAAAGTGATGGAAATAAAATGAAAAAGACCCTAAATGAATATGGCTAGATATATATAAAAAAATTTCTAAAATTCCCAGCACACGTCATTTGTGTGCAAATTTAGACCAGTGAAGTCCTGAAGAATGAAATGGATCACAAGTAAACATTTTTCACTTTGTCATACAATTTCCCCATAACAAAGATTGTATTTTAACTCATCAAAAGTAATGGTTGACCAATGTCTTTCTGGAAAATAACAGCTTTAAGGCAAGCAAGCTTTGTAATGAAAGCACTTAATATTAAAAATAGAGTGTTAATAAAAAAATAAATAGTTCAAGACTTATCTTCCAGTCTCAGTTTTGAAGATAGTATTCACTGATTGGTGGTTAAAGAGTTCAATTGAATTTATTTACAGATATTATATCACTCTTAAAGAGGTTTCATAATTTTCTCTAAAAAAAGATCTTAATTTTTTATGTCAACTTATTTTAGATTTCTTTTAGTGGTGTTGTACAAATAAGCACTGTAACCAGAAATAACCCCCATCCTGGGTAAGACAATAAATTACGTCCAACAGCAAGTCCTCTAATCAGGAGGTTTTGAAGAGCATGGAACCACTTCTTAATTGCTAGTGTTCCCTGACCCTGGGTGTTAGCACCTGTTAGGGTTTCAACTATGGGTAAATAGTTAACCCCCAAACTTGGATCAAAACACTATGAAAGTGTAAAAATAGATTTTAATACCAGAAATACTTTGTATAAAAAATTATTACCTACAATACATTTTTGAAAACAAATATTATCAGCAATACATTTTTTGAAAAAAAAAAATATATATATTACCAGTGAAGGAAAATACTTACCAGAAATAAATTTTTGAAGGAAAAAATATTATCAGAAATAGATTTTTGGAAAAAAAAATTACCAAAAATGAAAATTTTTTTCAGCATTAAATAACCCATTGAAGTTGATATGCCGTAAAACAAACCAAACCAAAAATAACCGTCTTTTTCTTTTTTTTTCTCCAAAATTGTATAAATGTTGATAATTGGGTTCAGTTTGCTGTGTAAAGTCATTGCAAATTGATCTCCATTATGGAAACCAAGACAAAATATCCTCACATTATGTGATTTCTTAAAACTTAATAACAAATTTGAAAGTCTTGATTTCTATTTCCATATATTACTAATGATTAAGACAATGAATACCTTATTTTTAAAAAAAATTTAATTAATAATCTGAGCATAGTTGACTTTCATAGGATTAATGTACAATGAATTTAAATAGAAAACTGTAACTGCCTATTAACTTTTATAAAATATAATAAATAATTCTTTGGTATTTAAGGTCAGGTTAGACTTAGGACTGCTACTGGTAGCTTGTAACCCAGTACAACCTGCCGCTTTTCTGCTGGTGAGGTGGGTGATATATCACTCCACAGAACAAAAAACAATACCTGTAAAAGGCTGATGAGTTTCTAATAGGAGCCAGCAGCCAACACATATATATACGTATATATATGTATGTATGTATGTATGTATGTAGAGAGACTAGGATGAAATCTAAAACCTTGAATGACAACCTTCCTAGAGATTATGTCTTGATAAAAACACTTGGTGTACTTGGGTTGTCTGAGTTGGGTGTCAGGAAGAGCAGCCTTGTAAAACCTTGCCTAAAAACCTTATGACAAATCCTTTGTCAGGTAGGACCCACCTTTCTTTGTGTGAGATTAATCCTGGTTGTGCCTCAAGAAAAATGCATGGTATTCATAATCTGGGGTGCTTAACTTCACTGTTCTTTCTTAAGGTCATTATCGTATGATATAATTTAATATGAAATTATTTCATTATATGTATTGGATAATTTTAATATACTCAAAATTTTCCTCTTATGGATACTGATGTGTCTAAAAAGAGTATAAATAAATTTTTATCAAATTATTAATATAATGAAGGTTTCCAGCTAAATATTTTATTGATTGTTAGATAGAGTAGACTTCTCTAAATATTTAAGAATTTTTGTTATATTTGTATAATTGTAATAATTAAAATCACAGTTGACTGGATTTAGGTACGATTACAGTTTATATTATTGAGTAAAAATTTTTTATTGTTATTTTTTATTATTTTTTATAACTAAAGTGTTTCTGTTATGGATAAGAATGTGTGTAAATAAATTTTAAGTAAAATAAATTCATTTATTTATTAATAATGCAGTATCTCCTGATCTCAATCAATCTATTAACAAAGACTGCTTGCCTTAAAAATGTTCTCTTCAGAATTATATTTTTTGGGTGAAATACAATCTTCATTACTGTTATATATATATATATATATATAAGTGTGTGTGTATGTAAAGTTATATATATATATATATATATATATATAATGGATTAAGTCTGACAATTTAATGTATTTTCTGTTTATATGCTATATTTATAGATAA